AGGCTTAGGTTTCCCATGACCCTTTCCGAGACTTAGCAGCTTACTCATGATGGATGGATATTTCTTGTGATATTTTTAAAAGAAAGAACACACTTGTCTACTCTGATGGCCTCAGCCCTGCACTCTGAAGAGAGCAGACTGGGACCTAAGAGAATGGCTCACTCTCTGAGCCTATCCCTTATTTAAGGAAAGTTTTTTTATAAAGAACATTAAATGTGCATTCAGGGTACTGTTTTTTAGTCAAATTAAACAGACAACACCCCAAACATATCAGAAATGCTTAGAAAAGTTAAGGGAATAGTTAATAGTTAAGGGTTTTTTATGTAGAGTGGGGATCCCTAGTTCTAATCCTGGTGTGTCCACAGGTTTCCATTCCATCTCATTATTCATTTAATTAGACCAGCACGGTGGTGCAGTGGTTATCATTGTTTCCTCGCAGTGCTTGGAAACTGCATTCAAATTCTAGGCCCAGGGGGGCTGTCTGTGTGGAGTTTGTATGTTCTCCTCATGGTCCCTTGGGTTCTCTGGGTGCTCTGGTTTCCACCCACAGTCCAAAGATGTACTGGAAAGTTAATTGGCTCCTGGGAATATTGGTCCTTGTGTGATTGTGTTTGTGTGATTGTGTCTGTGTGCTTTGGAGCTCTTGGTCACTCTGATAGGCTTTGGCTCCCCTAAAACCCCGGATAAAGCAAATTAGAATGGATTAGAATGGATGGATGGAGTATTTATTTCAAACCTTCTGTCTCGGTAGGTCTCTGTGATTTCTCCTTTGTGACACTTAGATCTTACTTAACATAAAAAGTTTGTAATGGTGACATACCTGTAAAAATACAGTCCAAAACTAAGATGCCGGTCTCCCCCGTGATCCTGTATTGGATAAAGCAACATTAGGGTTAAACAATATAATTTACACTTTTAAGATTGCATATCTCATGAATATGATACATACATTTTAGATAGCAACCATATCATCCACTCACAACTGACAGTCCACTGAAGCTCAGCAGGTGTGAGTCTGGTCAGTACCTGGATGAGAGACCTCCTGGGAAAAACTAAGGCTGTAGCTGGATGATGTGTTATTGGGGCCAATAGTAGGTGCTCACCCTGAGGTTTGAGTGGGTCCTAATGACCCAGCATAGTGACGGGAACATTATACTGTAAAAAGGCAGTGTCCTTCAGATAAGATGTAAAACTGAGGTCCTGACTCTCTCTGGTCATTAATGTCACCCTGGCATCCTGGCCAAATTTCCCATTGGCCTTTACCAATCATGGTATCCTAATAATACCCATTTTATTCATCTATATATTCTCTATATATTCTACAATAATCCTGTCATTATTATTGTTATTATTGTTATTATTATTATTTACCTGCCTACTTGATTGCCTGCCAATCATTTACATTGATTGTGGTAGAAATCCAAAATTAAATAAAAAAGCAGAGTAAAGAATGTAGCATACTGAATACTAAACAGTAGGTACTAAAGTGACAGAATAATTTGTACTTTTTTAAAATGCTGGATAGTCATTATCGGTATGCCAGGCTTACCTGTTGCTGTAAGCTCTGCTCTCTATGATATCCCCAGAAAGCTACTGTACTCAGTCCTTGGTATACAGTCCCTCACCTTCAAGTCAATGGTCAAAGCTAAGATAAAAATCTCATATGTGTGATTTGCATTGATTATGGTAAACCTTTTTAAGATTTGGTGTGGTATACTGTATAAAGTTTAGGCTTCCTTAAATTTCCAATGAGTATTAAGTAATCATCCAGATTTTAGAATGGTTTCTTAGAGACCTTCAGAAAATCTACAACTCCAAACACAGATGTAAAGTACATGATCCACAATAGTTCAGAAACTAAATCAAATCCATCAAGAGACACATCACTGAATTAATAGAACCGACAGTAGAGTTGCTACTACCACCAACATCTGTCTGCCAAAAAGTTGCTACTTAGAATTATTCTCTTTGAAAAAAAAATGAGTTTCAGTTATTATTAAATTATTGTTGTGAACAAAGTTTATTTGTTCCATCCCTAGGCTAGGAGGCAAGTAAACATGGAGGTAGTCACAAATGATAAAATGGTGTTCTTTATGATTTACTCAATTGGCTTTATGAAAATAAATCCACACCTGAAAAGTTGTGTCTCTTAATTCTTGTCCTTTCAGCATGGAATAAACCTTTGCCAGTTTCATCTCATACATATGCTTGTGTAATGCTCCGTTATTTGATGCCTGCTATTTTGTAACACTATACAATGTAATGCACTTTAATATTGGATTTTAAAACCATAACACAGGGATGTTACTGTACTATATATATATATCTCTTCAATAACGCCTTCTCATAACATCCTCCAAAGGGACACAACTAAACCAAGTGACTTAACCCCGACTAGACTGTTGTGCTATAGCTCAATACAACACAACCCCCCTCCCACCTTAAAATGTGCTACCTTGTATGCAACTATCTTTTATATATTCAATATTTTTATTTAATTTTATATAATACTTTAGCATGGGTGATTTTTAATAACTAAATTGTATGACATCTGTATTCACATTATGTACTACATTTCCATTTGTAAGATGTATCCTTGACAAGACACCACTAGTGGCCTAGTCACAAGTGGGCAGAACATTTCTCATTCACAATCAAAACTTCCTAATTGTTTAATTGCAAAACTGATAAACTTAACATGTTGCTTGAGTTGCAAACTCTGCTCCTAAGGTGCCCCAGTCCATCAGACTCATACAGTGCCTTGCGAAAGTATTCGGCCCCCTTGAACTTTTCAACCTTTTGCCACATTTCAGGCTTCAAACATAAAGATAT